GGGCGTGCGAAAGTTTCCAGAAGTACTTGGTGGGCATGGACACATTCAAATTAATCACGGATCACAAGCCACTAATACCGCTGATCAACAGTAAAGATCTAGACACTGTGCCAGTGAGATGTCAGAGACTTTAGATGAGACTCATGCGGTTTAATGCAAAAGCAGAGTATGCACCAGGCAAAAGCTTGGTTGTTGCAGATGCGTTGTCACGAAGCCCGTTAAACACTACGGAGGACTTTATGACAGCAGATGTGAGTTGTCATGTAGAGGCAGTCATCGGTTGTCTGCCAGTGTCTCAACGCAAGTTGACAGAAATAAAATGGAGACACAGAAGGATGAGCAGCTACAAACATTAGAGAGATTCATTACGAAAGGATGGCCAGAATACGCCAAAAGTGTTCCTAACAGTGTACAGAGTTTTTACAAATGGAAAGACTCTTTGTCAGTGAGTGATGGACTGATTGTGCTGGGGAATCGCATTGTAATTCCAAAAACACAAGATGCTTGACAGAATTCATGACTGTCACCAAGGCTTATCAAAATGCAGGGCACGGGCCCAAGAGTCTGTATGGTGGCCCGGAATTTCTGATGATCTTAGGCACAAAATAGAGACATGCAGGTTCTGCATAGAAAATAAACGTGCACAGCACAAGGAACCTCTACAGTCAACACCTCTGCCAGAAAGGCCATGGCAGCGAATAGCCATAGACTTGTGTATGCATAAAGGGAAACAATATCTGGTGGTATCGGACTATTATTCGCGTTACTTGGAGATCCTTCTGCTACAGTCTACTACATCAGAATATGTTATTCAAAGACTTAAAGCGTTATTTGCAAGGTTTGGCATACCAGAACAAATTGTTAGTGACAATGGGCCACAATTCTCCAGTGAAGCTTGGAGAAGCTTCTGTGATATGTACGATACTCAGCACATTACATCAAGTCCGCACAATCCACAGGGCAATGGACACGCTGAACGGGCAGTTCAAACAGCGAAGCGCATTCTGAAACAGGAAGACCCAGTGGTAGCACTCATGTGTTTTCGAGCTACCCCTACCTCCTCTACAGGGGTCAGCCCGGCGGAATTGCTCATGGGAAGGAAAATGCGTACTACCCTACCCACCTTACCGAGAAACCTGAGACCAAAGTGGCCAAACAAATCAAGTATAAAAGAGAGAGACAAAGCAGCAAAAGAAAAACAAGCGTACTACTTTAACAGACGACATGGCGTGAAGGACTTACCAGTTCTTAGACCAGGGGATTCAGTCTTGTTAAAGTTAGACGATGAAGCAAAGTGGAAGGGACCTGCTACGGTGTTGGCAGAGAGTGCTACTCCAAGGTCATACGAGGTCTTCAGTGAAAAAGAGGGAGAGAAAAGGAGAAATCGCAGGCATCTTCAGTTGCTGCCAGAAAAGGTTCCAGGAATTACTATGAAGACTGGGGAGAGTTCAGAACAGTCACCACAGAAAGTTAGTTCAGAACAGTCATCACAGAACGTTCAACTTCGTGTGGACTCTGATTTACCTGCAGAGAACATTGTAAGGAAACCTAACATCACTAGATCAGGAAGAGTAAGTAAGCCTGCGGAGCGACTGAACCTATAGAAGAAAAAAAAAGAAGACAAAAGAAAAGAGTATCGACATACAGTCAGTAACAAATGACTTTATTGAGTTATGTGACCAGGCTTGGTAATAACTTAATGTAAAATGAATATCCGTGAATGCGATGAGTGACAGCAATGGCAAAGTAATGTTGTGTTTGATTTGAAAGAGGGAAAAAAAAAAAACAATGTTCTAGTTTGAAATTGGTTAATTAAATAGTCGATGTGTTGGGTAAGTTTATGGATTATACAGTGGGTACGGAAAGTATTCAGACCCCCTTCAATTTTTCACTCTTTGTTATATTGCAGCCATTTGCTA